GCATCAATTTACTCCACATCCCACCAGCAATCCACACCAAATTGTGAAATTTCACACATTCCAAAAAATATCTTTTTATGCTGAATCGACAATAACTCAAGATTAAACTTTTACCTTGCATCACATGTACCTCATTAAACAGCTATTGTCATATATGTGTTACATATGGTCGTCATTATAGCAATAATCTGTCGCAAAGCGGCCTAAAATAATCAAAATATTTCGACGAACAATAAAATAAAGCAAATTGAATAACTTTTAAGGCAGTCCAATTGCGTACGAAAATAAAAAATTAATCCATCAAAAATTTTGCTAAAGCTTTTCACAAATAAAACTATAAAGTCACAATAGTAGCTTAACAGATGAGGTGAATTACAGTCGTTTCAATATTAATTAATTTAAATGATTTCCGCAATTTTTTCTTTCCTTCTTCTTTTTCCATCAACTGCTGTAATCATGCGCATTCATGTCATTTAGTTATGTCATTTAATCTTTTATTAAAAATCACAATTAATCGGTATGTAGATCGCGATCGCTCGACAGACATTCATAAGTGCCACTTGCGACAATTGCTTATTATTATTGTTTTAAACGAATGAATGAAGAAGAAATAGAAAATATGAAATGTATGTACAAATACAGAAGCCAATGATGACAGCATGGCCATGAAAAATGTATGGCAAAAAAAGTGAGATTTTGTTGTAAACAAACCCGGACAGACAAATGTGAAAATCGAGAGTTGGAAAAGCTTGTAAATTTGTGAACATGAAGCAGAAAATGTTTTGAGGGAGAAAATTGGCAAATTAGTTGACATTTTGACTGATTAGGTAGATTTGGAGTTGAGACAATGAGAAGCAATTTTGTGAGATGTTTTTGTGTCAGAAGCTGAATTAAAGGATAGTGACAGTCAAGGTTTGACCGATATTTTTTCATAATTTTCATAATCTTAGCGACAGGCGCGTAGCCAGGGGGGAGGGGGTATTTGGGGTACAAACGTAAACAGAAATTTCTTTATTTTGCTAGGATTTTATGAAAAAATCACAACCCCCCCCCTAAATTTTTCCATACAAAAAAAAATTTTGCCCCCCCCCCCTCTTCAAATTCCTGACTACGTCACTGCTTATCAAATTTTAATAGAATTTAAGAGTTTCTGTAAAACTTGGACAACGATTAAGGACAAGGGGAGCATTTACATAAAGCATTTTGTTAGCAGTTGAGTAATCTCGATTGCTCAGTGGAAGAAGCATGAAACCTGAATAAAAAACTTCAATAGGGCGTGGGTTCGAGTCTCACTAATGACCCGTTATTGAAGATGTTTCATTAAGTTTGCAAACAACTTAACTGAATTAGGGGCTCCTTTATTTATTACGTTAGGCAAAAACACGAGTATTGAGGGTTTGTTCACTTATGACGTCCATCAAAAATTGAATAATTAAATAAGGGGGGTCTTCTTGTCACAGAATTAATTTATAATAATAATTTCTAATATTCTTAATTTCAACAAATCTCAGACCCTCTTCCAACTTAATAGATGGAAGTCATAATTGTATTTCATACCCCTTTCAACTTTAAATGTAAACGTCATAATGAAAAGATGTCAAAAAGATAGATAACATATAAATCCAGTGATAGTTCTGCTCTGGAAACAAGTCCTTCAACTTTAAATCAAAAATTCATAAAATCTAAAGTTCAAATCCTAGAAAAAAATCACATAGCATCTAAAATTGACACCAAAACTATCAATATCCAAAATCCAAACAATAATAAATTCAACACCCAACTTTCAATAAATAAAAAAATAAATCATCTAATGACAATCAAATAGACACAATTCCATGTCCACAATTTCCAATTTCACCCATTAAAATCACTTAAATACGCTCTCAAAAAAATAATCTGTGTGAAAATGCGGAGGAGTTATTAAAAAAAATATCCAAATATGATGAGCAGCAATGTCAGAACAGCGAGTCAACAAGTGACTAATCGCCAGTCGTAGCTGATGATCATAATGTAAAGTGAGATGATTGAAGCTTTTGTCATTTTCGATGTGCTCAAAACAATTGGACTTATAAGCTTTTCCGATGTATCATCTAACAATTAACACTCACGCCTATATTCTATAAAAACGTATGTGTACTTAATACTCTCGTGTGCCTGTATGTCTTTCGATGATTTGTGTGTTTACAGATGTCTTTCACATCACAATGACGGCGTGCCAAAAATAAATTAAAAGAAATGAGAAAAAAAAATTAATGAATTCACGAAAGCAAAAAAGAAGAACTTCTTTTTTTGAGTTTTATTTATTTCGGTGCGCTGATGCTGATTAATCTCAATATGTAATGACTTTTTTGCTCTCTCATAACTTTTTTTGTTTTATTTATGGGCTTTCGGATTGTTCGGAGGGAAATTGGGATTTTGTTTTGATTTACATTGAATTGATGATTTACATGAAATTTTTAATTGAAGATTTCTTATTCGCAGATTGAAGTTTTATTATGGATTGAGGCTTTATGTACTTTAATGTGTCTGACAGATGAGAAATTTGAGATGTGATTTAATGGATCTTTTGAAAATTATAGTTGAAGGTGAGGTATTGGAGTTGTGAGTTTCTGCTGTCGCCAGGAAGATGATGATGATTGGTCGAGAAACAATTGCTTATGAAAATGTTTAAAGAAAATTTTATTGCTTTTCAGTCTTCCTTGAAAATTTCCATCAACACTTGAAATTTTTTTGTGTGATTATTTTTGAATGCTCAGTAATATCAGTGTATTATGATTAAGTATTAATATTCGTAGAATTTTCGAGACTATGTAGGGAACTGTGTGCTTAGAACAGGGAAATGTGAGACAACTTAGGGTAAGGAGTGGACCCCCCCCCCCCCATCCCACCTCTCGAAAGCTCTCTTCAATATCTTACGAAGCTACGCTGCTGCAAGAGGTTAAACTATTATAATTGCCTAATTTTTCTAGCTTCTTCAGTGATTCTCAACGAGATCTGAACTTGCTCTTTAGTGTCTTTTCATTTTGTTCACAAAAATACACCACAAATCTTCTCAACTTAACGACAAAAACGCCTAAAATTAATTACCATTCAGCTTTTGAATTTTTCATCCAATCAATGAAGTCATCCTCATTCGAAAAACAGTTAGCCTTGATGTTGTTCTTTCATTCATCATGTTCACGCTCTTCATTTGTATTTCCCGACAAATGTATAGTAAAAATTATTTGGTCATCATTCTCATTCATTTAAGCAAAATTTGTCTGTGTTAAAAATGAATTTTATTTTAAGATCATGCAAAATTTTTCTATTTTCATAAATTAGGCTATTGATACGCAAAACAAAGTGTTGAGATTTTTATCTCTGATTTATTCACTGAGCAGCTGTCATAGCTATCTTAATCGATTGAATTAGGTTGGACAATAAATTCCGATATAATTAAAGTTGTCAATTTGACCCTCGAGCAATTATTATGTAAATGATGGAGGCGTCTAACTATGAATAATGTGAGTTTGCAAAATTTATTACTGTCATGAGTAATTTTGGAATCTCTCGGCTCCAAATAAGTATTATGATTAATTCAAGTGAGCAATAAACAAGTCAGTCTTAATTAAATTATCACAAAAATGATGATGAAAATTTCCTTTATTTACTTGAGAAGCGTGCATTGTATGTGATTCAGATATTGATGCAAATGGATAGTTGTGCTGATGACCTTACTGCATTCCAAAGAGAAGCAGCTTCTTTCGAGTCAAATCTTTTATAGGTTGGAAAATTTCTTAAAATTAATGCGATTTAAAAACGAATTAAAAACTCTACTTCACTTTAAACCTTTTTTGTTGGAGCTTGAATGGAAAAATGGGTCAAAATTTGGCATTCTGGAAAAATCTAAATGGCACAAGTCGTTTAATAGATCAAAAATCCGGCACTAAACCGGTGTGATTCTGGCATGTTGCTGGATTTTAATCTAAACCAGTTTCATGCCAGTGTCATCTCAGCTTGGCGCTGGATTTCTGATCGATTAACCGTCTTTTCCCATTCGAATAGTTTGTAATTCACTGCTCTACTTCAAGACATTGGTAACTTGACTCTCAGGAATGCAAACATTGAATTATTTGTAGAGTTCAAGGTATAAGGTTTAGGTAAGCTATAGGTTTGTATAAGGTCAAGCCTCATGACAAGCCATAATAACAATGTGAAAAGGTTCACTAATCAGGCACTGCGATCCTGATCGATGATAGAATCTATTGTACCGTGACAAGCCATGGAACCAGCAAGAATATTTTATTTGCTTAGAGTATAACTAGAATCAGAGCTCAAAGTCGATGAAATTTGATGTCGCCATAAAAAATCGATGAAAATCTTTAGTCGACTTTGAGCTCTGACTAGAATTAACTAGAACAAAAAATCAACCAGCAATATTTCAAGAATTCATTATTATAAGAGCCTATCTCAAACTAGAACTTTATTTTGCTTTATTGTTTGAAAAACTTTGTCATTTTAAACAGCACGTCAGCATTTTGTACAAACTGCGTTACATAGAAAAAAACGACAGTAAATAACTATGCAGTAAACTTGACCTTAACCGACGAAGAAGTTTCAGTTTTCGCACATTTGGTGCAAAATTGCAAGTTCAAAACTGTTTTGCTTCCTGCTGTATTTTGATAGTTAAATATCAAGCTGCAAAATTGTCAAGAAAGTATCTTCAAACTCTGCCAAAAACAACAAGAATCAGAAAACATCAGATGTAAATGTTCTCAATTAAAAATTTCTTCGTGTTTGGTCCATCAATCACCCGTAATATTGTAAAATTCGCACGAGTTCAAATTGTTCACGTTTCAAATTCTTACTTATTATTAGAATTTCTCACGATCATTCACAAAATAGCCATAAAATTCCTAAAAATATCAAATTGCGTAAATTTTTGAAGAACTTGATTTATTGCCGATTTTTTTTTTGTTTACGCAGAAAATGTTTTATTAATTTTTCAAAATTTTATTTACTTTTTCTTCTTACAGATGATAATGAATTTTTCTCTCTCAACGTCGTTAGGTTCACTATGAGAAATGAGATCACAAGTGCAAGTGACGCAAATTTCTCCGAAAAATTTTGATGATTTTTTGATTTATTTTTCTTCACACAGTCACTGTGGAAACTTTTTTTTGCTCCACTGATCCAATTATTCAAAGTCTGTCACAATAAAAATCACTTCCAGTTTCGAGAGACAGCACTAAACAATGCAATGTAATGCGACAAAAATGTCAATTGAAGTAAAATTTATTTTTTTTTTCTCACAAAAAAAAGTCGATTTTCTAATTTTAACAACAAAAGTCTCTTATCTGCTTTTTTTAAACGAAATTTCCTTGAGAATTTTCCTTCTTCTTTATCACACTTTGCAGTAAATTTAAATTAAATTCAGTCAGTCAGTGCAATTCTCTATCACTAGTCACAGATGCGTTTAAAAATATTTTGTTTTTCGTAAAATTCGATTTTCGTTTCTTTTTCGTTATGTAGAACTTAACAAAAAGTAACAAACTTAAAAGTTAATTTAATGAGAAAAATAATTCTAAAACTAAAGTAAACTTAAATAAGGTGAATCGCAAGCTTGCGATTTTCGCGAGATGAAGATTTCGACTGATTTTTTTTTCCTTGTCTTTTCTTCTTTCTAAAATTAACGCATTCGTTGAGCATCATGACTGTGTGGGCATTAATCGGTGAATTTTATACTCAATAAGATTCAAAGGAGAAACAATTTTTTTTTGCTCGCAATATAAAAGATTGAGTATTTTTTAAATGAAAATAAACGGCAAGGTTGCAAACACATATTTTTGTATGTGCTGCATTGTTTGATGACACTATAAAATTAAGAAACAAATCAGGCGATTAATTAATTAGCTGAAATTTGTTTTCGAATAATTTATATTGACATCTCGTACTTTTGTAATTTGAGATTAAATTCCTTTTAGAGATGACCACGTGGATGTTGTGTATGAGAAAAAACGTTAAAAGCCGTTAAGCGAATGAATTTTGAATTTTTGAGCTTTTTGTAGCTTTTCGTGGATTTTGTGGAGCTTTATCATTGTAGCTTTGATGACTATTTTAATGATTGAATGATGATTCATGTGCTTGTGAATATTTTTTTGTACAACAGCTCTTTGAAAATTGAGCAAACTGTCGTAAAATGTAAGTCTAGACATGGTCAATATAAAAAATGTTTAGACTTAAAAAGCAGCTTATGCTTAGAGGATTTTGTGAATCCTTTGGAAAAATTCTGATGATTGAAGCCGATTTTTCAGCATTAATAAATTTTTTAATTTTATTTTAGAAAAATGCCATTTGAATGCATTTAACACACAATTTTTGTATTAAAACTATACTTTACATGCTTTAATATGATTCTGTGTAATATTTTGTCAGTATGTAGCTATAATAATAATAATGTGTGAAGGACCCAGCATTTCAGCTGGAGGAACTACGATTCAATTTGTAAAAAATCAATTGTACAACATCATTTGGACCTACAGTTCATAGTGGGATCCGAACCACTTGCAATTGCATGTAGCTAAAGTAAGTTCAGAATTATCAATTAACCGATGCTTACCCAATCTTGTTGACGCTTTTTGAGAAATAAAATGGCTCATCGCCCACCCTTAAATAAAAAAAACTTTAAATAAGGATTAAAAGATTGATGATAGGAAGTAATAGGAATTAATCTTAAGTAAACGTCTTGACTTAATATTAAAACAAAATAAATTTTTATAAACTTTCAAAGCACATAATTTTTATTAAAATGCATTTGCTTTAAGACACATCAGATTGATATTTTAGGTTTTCTTATTTAAAAAATATTGTAATAAAATTTTATAAAATTGTCTTTGTTAAAAAAAATACTTTAAAATGCTGATCTAATTTGCTTAAACTATAGATAAAATTTTCAAAGTAAATAGACAAACTTTTGTGTTGTTCAAGTGTGTGGAACTGATCAAAATGATCAAAATGTGATTTATCAGCTCCAAATACGTGATGGTATTTAAAATAATAACTCTAGTTATTACATAATGCTAAAGAATACGCATTAGTTGACAGTATGGCTAGTAAAATGTTTTAATAATTTCATTTCTGTCAGGTTCAATGCTACTTGTGGACAATACAATTTGTTACAGATTTTTATAAAAATTCTTAAAAAAATATACTTCAGCCTTCATTTAAAAATATTAAGTAATTTAAAATGTTTTGATTATATTGATTTTTTTTAAATTTTTCTCACTCAAAAATTTAATATTTCTTAACTGAATATTGATGAACTTAATAAGAAATTGTAATGTCAAAATATCTAGCAAAGCTTCAACATATTAAAAATACTAATGCTAAAATTACGAATGTGAAAATCTAAGGCGGTTCCACCCTCTGATTATTGAAATAATTTGTGCATATATTTAAATTTGTATCATTTTTTTAAAAGAACTAAGTTGAGTAAAATATATCTGAGAATGAAAAGTTGGGATTTATTTGTGTGAAGTTAGCGTAAATTGTCTCATTTAAGAATTTCAGTCCCGCAGTTGTTTGGGTTCATATAAATTAGTCAAAGATTAATTCAAGCTATAATCTAGTGTGATGACTTTTAATAAATCATTTTTAAATGCGACATTCCTTCTTTTTCAAAACTGCTCAATTAAGTCTAAATTGTTTTTAAATCTTAAACCTTAATTGTCTTGTCAATCATCAATACTTTAAGTCTATCCTCACACAAGTAAATTTTAGGACATAAAATAATTATTCTACTTAAAATTAAGGAAATCCAGATTCTGACGGTGTTGGATTCGTTTTCTCAAACATAAAGTAGTCTGGATTAAAGATATGGAAGCAAATGCCTGAAATCATCAGTGCTGAATATAAAGTTATTGCCAACCACCAAAGTTTCTTCTCATATGGACGAACATTCAAATTTCGTAGCACACCAATACCAACTAAAAGACCAGCAATTCCACCACAAAGATGTGCCATATATCCAACACGATCGAATGGATCAGTTATGTGTCGATAGACACTGAATCCAATGTCAGTTCCACAAAACACGAGAAAAACAAAGAGTTGTAAAAATGCATATTCCATTTCTTGCCAGTTCATGATTATTGTAGCTATATGTGCAGTAATCAATGCATAAACACCACCCGATGCACCTGCCAAGTAGATTCGTGGATTTGCAATACTTGTGCCCATTGAACCAGCTAGAACACCTGATAAATATACTAAAGCAACTCTCCACCAACAATGTACTAAAAATAGACAGAACAAAGAAGAATAATTAGCCTTTGATGAGTCAATAATAAGCAATTAACTGCTGAACTCATACCTAACTCAAGGGCAGTTCCGAGAAATATTTGAACGATTAAGTTCATTAAGATATGCATTACTCCGACATGAACGAACATGTAAGTCACGAAACGCCAGGCTTCCTCTCGCTTTCGTGGATTGTAGATGAACATCGTTGCCATCGGTCCGTTGACACTGGTTCCGACATTCTTGAAGTCGGTTTCTTTGTAATCACTGTTTCGGATGAAAGAGGAAAAGAATCAATAAGAGGTAAATTGGAATGATTAACAAGGCAACTAAAGAAGCAACAGATGACAATAGCATGGTAGATACATTTGGAAAAGACTATTATTGCGTGGGGCCCGTTCACTTATTACGTTACGCAAAAAACCGACTTTTTTCACCCCCCTCCCCCCCTTGTTACAACATGTTACAACTCGCACCCCCCCCCCCCCCCCCCTTGAACGTTCATAATTCAAATTTTTTTCGTGAACTTTTTTTCAAAAGACAGACGACAGTAAGAACGTTACATTCTTCTTGACACCCCCCCCCCCCTCCCCCCCTATGTTACATTTTGTTACAATTTTTCAAACCCCCCCTCCCCCCTAAAATGCGAACGTAATAAGTGAACGGCCCCGTGATGCTTCAATGATTTAGAATCAGAAGAGTTCAAAGGTCCAGCATCTGAATCGGTAAACATTAAATATCCTCAATTTACAATCAATACTAACGCCAAAGGTCTTTAAGACTTCTATTACTCAATTGATTGATGAATTTAGATTTCAAATTCTAAGTGGCAATTGTCAAATGATTTTTTTTATCAATCATATGACTTGGAAATGAGCGAAAATCTTTTTGAAGATAATTTTTCATGAACTAATTCACTAGCCACTGATAGCGACCATGACCTAAGTCAATAGAGTTGATCATGAGTTATTTTTGGCAGTAATGAATTTTGAAAATGAAAAAAAAAACAATTTTGTGGATTTTTGATCGGTTCTATTCTTGTTTTGAGCATTTAGATTGGAAATAATCGCTTCAAAAAGAAAACTTGATAACTTACTTTAAATAAACTATATCTACGATAAAGAATATAACTTCTATGATACTAAAGATGACCATCGTCAAGGGAGGTGGGAAAAATTTCATTTGATTCTCGTACGCTCCATCTAAAATACATTTCAAATAAGCATTAAGTAAAGGAATTTGAATTAATTTTGAGGATGAATTTTCATAATGATAAGTGTGCATGTGTTGTAGGATGAAAGAGGTTAAAATTGTTTCATTAAAGGATGAAGATTTGAGGTTCTATTTTACAATTTATTATAAGTCATTGTTGTGATTTGAAAGCTTTTAAAACCATGAAATCACTATCAGAAGTCTTGTTTTCTGATAACAATCATTTAGATTGTTCCTTAATTAATAAACTATTGCACCTTAGCTTGAAATTAATTGTTGAATGTTGGAAACATTTGAAAATATAAAAACTAGAATAGTTTAAAGCCTGTATGTTTTTGAAAATGATTCTTGACATGATTGGTAGAAAATGGTTTTTGCTTGTCAAGTTCAAGCTAGTCAAGTTTAATAAAATAATTTTTTAAAGTTATTTTTAGCATTCGTCGGGATTTAAAAACCACAAAAATCATATAAATTTAAAAACTATTCAGAATTCTAAATTAAATTGTTTTGGAAAGCTTTTTAGGCTTGTTTTAACTTATTCAGGTACAGGATTCTATTCAATAAAATTAAATCTACATTCTTTAATGAAATTTTCTTATGAACTAAATTCAGATTTTTGAAAAGACTTTCTAAAATTAATAGAAAGGATAAAATGTTAAGAACAAGACTTGAAATTTCAGATGAAACATCCAATGTTATCAAATCCCAAAATAAGAAATCATGAAGACAATGAAGATGTTAAAATAGAACTGAAAAAGAATAATTCATTATAATAGATAGCAAGGGAAATTACTTTATGAGTTAATATGAAATTAATAAGCACTTAATGTGAGCTATTAATCGTGACAGCGCAAACATCATTAAATAATTACAATCAGGGATATTACACAATTTTGTATTGAAAGTATTTGTCATGATTTTATCTACTTTTATGATTCCTACAGAAATAACTCATTACGATTTTTTTCTTAGAAATCATCAAGACTTTCACACTGGCATGCAAAAGAACTAGCTTTCATTGCTAGCTTTTGAATTTGAATTTTTTTAAAAACCGAAAAGTTTCTTTCAGGGTTGCGATACAGCCACCTGTGCACAGGTGAGAACCGTACAATTCCTTGATAATTTGTAAAGTTTTATTAAAATTTGTAAAGTTTTATTTAAAGAAACCTTGTAAATTATCAAGAAATTGTACGGACAGTTTTCTCCCAACCTCCGAATGAGGAGGTTGTGGAATTGTGCAATACTTCAAAATTAATTAATTACGCGTAGGAATAAGTCACAAACCTTCGGGAACTGTCTTCAAAGTAGCAAAGAACAAAGATACCAAGGAGAAAACTCAGCAAAGTCGCGATTTAATTAAATTTTGGATATAAATTGAAATTGGAAAAAAAATGTGCAAATTTTGAACATAACCTAGATAAAACGGAATTGATCATCATCGGAATACCAACGAACATTTAATTACATTGACAAATCACGATCGGCGGCAGTTGTGAGGAGAATCAATTGTTTCACGTGGGTTTTTTGTGTTTTACCAACAATCGTGGACAAGAAGGTTCTATCATAACCATAACCTAGACATCGAATATTATTGGAATACAACGGATTATCGTCAATTGTGAGGAGAATTTGTCTCGCGATGGGTTTTGTGTGTTTCCCCATATATCGCGGGCAATTCTATCAATCAATTGGTGCTGACTGGATTTCAACAAATCAACATTGACAAACAGGAATCGATCATCTCGGAATACAGCAGATCATATTAATTAAATTGACAAATCACAATCGAGACATAAGAAAAAATTGAATCTATTTGGAATATCACAAGTTAAATTACAAGGACTGTCAAGGGATCTGGATCATCGACAACTGAAGATGGAATTTTTTGCCTAGCGATGGTTTTTTGTTGTTTTGACTTATCACGGGCATGTTTTCTGTCAACCATTTGGAGTTGACTGGATTTTATTGATTGTTCTTTGTGTAAATTTGTAAATTAAACTACCTGGAATTGTGAACGGTATTTAAATAGCAATAAGCTGATGGACCATAATAAAGTTAATTAAGAAGAAGAAGAAGAAGAAGAAATTGTACAATTCTCACCTGTGCACAGGTGCCTGTAATTTACAACTCTGGTTTCTTTAATACAAGATTATCAAATGTAATAAAACCTTCATATCAGACATCAACATTCTGATATCAATCAATCAACCCTGATTGTAATTCCACTCAAATGTGTGTCACTAAGTTCCTAAAGTGAGTAAGAGTGAAAGTCGGGAAAAACAACATAAATTTGTGTTATTTGTAAATGTTTCATGCGTGCATACAAGAAAATCAATTTAATAAGCACGAACTACTCTAAAAGTTCTATGAATAATAATGATACTAATCAAGTGCCGGAATATTTACATATTGAGGCATATTAAACTGCTTTATGCTTTCATGTAATGTATTGTATGGATTGATGAATAAGCCAAAGTGTGTGACTTGTGAATTTCTCAAGGAAATTGTGAACTTTATCAAGGTTTAAGGTTATTCAAGGTCAGTTCTGTTTTGGGATTCTAGTTCAGTTTGATTAAGTTGAATTTAGATGTTAACCATAATTTTTTGCATAAATTGGTATTAATGACTTTTAAGAGAAATCCAGAGTTTCGATACAGGTCGCCTGTCACATGCACTGCCTGTTAACAGATCAGTGACAGATCGCAACTCTTTAGCAATCTCTTTTGAAGTTTTCGGTCTAAATTGTGTCATCTTCATTCTTATTTTGCCGTTTGAATTGGGTTTTGTTATCTTTTTTAGAGCACGACTAAATAAATTGGCCAATTTTGCACAATTAAGATCACATTCTACTGTAAATACTAGATTTTTTTAAAAGGACAATTGACAAGCATGCTTTAAGGCAGTGTTGTATAAACTCTGGGCCGCGGCACTGGTGTGAAGTTGAAATTTTTTGGAAATGACGCGAGCCGTATGCTGTGTGCAACTTTGGTCATGTCTTACACCACAAGTGTGCCGTGGCTTTAAAAGTTTGGACAAAACTGCTTTAAGGTATAATACTATCGAAACCCAGTTAAAAAGATTAAAATCAAGATTCAATTAAATTTTATGAGTAATTGTTTTTGAAGAACTTTAATCATAAAATCTAAAATCGGAAGATGATCTCATTCAATTTGAACCTTTAGTCTGGATTGGACAGCATATTATCAACACTCTGGCTTATGAATAATGAATTAATTAAATATTTTAAATCAAGGTTGAAGCATTCCGTAAAAATTACGAGGATTTCTAATTTTGATTCTAAATTCTAAAATCTACATCAGCTTCTAAGTGACGCGATACTTTAATAATCTATTGCAAACTTGTTGCTTAATCTTCGACTTCACCTTCATTTTATGTCAGATAACATAGTTATCCAAAATATGATAAATCGCTTCTGCTTGTTGCTATCTTTAAATGAATGAATGTTCTTTATAATAAGCAACATCCTTTGTATTGAAAACCAGTTGGAAGCATCAGAAGCTGAATCAGTTTTTGTTAATTCAATTAGCAAATTTGAAGAACATTTTAAAGCAAATCTTCTTTGATTAATCACAAAAAACTTGTTAATCTGAAGCTGAGTTAAATGCAGCCCTGACATCAACAAAGAAAAAAGTCAAAAAATTTCATACGTCCTAATTTTTTCAATGCTTCATCCCGATCAATTTTTCTTAAACGTAAAAAATCTTGAACAAACACATGATGACACGCACCTACTGTTTCATATGCGGAACCTACAGAATATCCAGACGCTATAAATTATACAGTTTTTTTGTGTGATAAACAAAAGTTAAGGTCCAAAACATTACAAAATGTACAAAAAAATAATTTCGTCAAAAAACATAATTAAATTAAGGAATAAAAGAAAAAGTTATTAATAGATTATTAGTTCACGAAATTCTATGTGCGGCTATCGATTAATCTACCTACTGATAACAAAAAAGTTTTGTTTAGTGTTATAAAATTTTGTGCACAAAACATTAATTTTTAAGTTCCATGCAGTTCCTTCTCACCTGTTTCATCATGAATGGCACCATCACGTCGTGGAACGACATAACGACAATATTTCACACAAAAGTCTCTGACAATCCATTTGTGCTCCTGACTAAGTTTGTAAAATTCCTCAAAATCCAGCTGACCATCACCGTCAATGTCTGCGTATTTAAGAATCTCTTTAGCAATTCCTTTTGGCAGATCTTGACATTGTCCTGGATTTTCTTTGATTAGCCTTCCTAGTTCTTTCTTGCTGAGGAATCCATTTCTGTCTCTGTCGTACTAAAATTGTGTAAAATGTCAATATTTATATGATTTATCATGCTGAGTCATAATTTTTTTTGGGAAAGGCTTTTGAAATTTTATCAGACATTTTAAAATTTTGAGATTTTATTAGATTTGTCACTGGAATTATGATCATTTGTCACTTAATTCACTGATTCCAGCCAAATCATAAGATCAGTCCTTAATTTGTATTTTATGTACACAAAGTTATCACTGGAGCATCAAAATGCATCACTAAATGGGCTAAGAAAGCTGAATCATGCAATAGAATCAACAAAATTAATTTTAATCACAAATTCCATTCAAAAGTCTTTAGAAACGGCTGTTTTACAACACTACACAATCTGATGAAATTCCACAACTTTAATCCCAATCCAGCACTCAGGTATCCTCACCTTATCAAAGATCCTCTTCACACGAGAACGCTCATTACGCTCCTCTCTAGAAAGATCAAGTTCAACTTGAGTTAATTGCTCCTGTACCTGCGAATATGGATTTAACCTGCTCGTCATACGATCGAGTGGAACTCTTGCACCCGGCGACTGCAGACGTTGTGTATCATCTTCCTCATCATGTGGATCAACATTTATTTGAACCACCTGTTGTTGTTGTGTGAACTGTACAGACATTGTACTTTATATTCTATTTCCTAGTTGAATATTATTTTCTATTTTGTCGGAATTAAAGATATGCGGATATGTATGTCATTTACTGTTCGATGTCTCAACTTCAACTGAATTGAGTCTTATTTTTCCTTCTCAGTTCTCTCACCAAAAAAAAAAAATCGATAAAATAAAGTTTCTTATACGTTCGCGATTATTTCATTTATTATGTGATAAGATAAAGGTTGTGGCCCATACACGTTTTGATTCCACAATAAATGACTTGAATATTTATTTTTTTTTTTCTCAAATTCTTTATCTTCTTCTTATTGTTGTTCTATTTCCAACTTGATTTCTCTTCAATCTCCAACATATACACAAAATTCATAAAATCAATTAGCAAGTTTATCACAGAACCATTCCAAATACACTAAAGAATAATTGAAAACAATACGGCACAATGATCTATGAACACGGACGATCTAATAGGGAATGAATCATTGAATGTATGACGAGTGATTAACGCAACTGAATAACTTTTTTGTTTGTAATTTTTCCGCGCTATAAACAAAAAGGCGAAGAGCTAAAACTACCAATACACATGTAGTATGTAGATTTCAGGAAAGTCTAGAGAAAATTGAAATAATGTAAAAATGAGTTTGAAGGAGAAATTTTGTGGAACTGAAGGTTCATGAGATATATTGGAATTGATGATTTGTGATGCGGGTTGTATACATTCAAAATTCGCAAACTATGACGTGTTGGGTTTCGAATTTGTTTGAATAGCTATGATTCATAGGTCGAAGCCGACATGAGTTCGCTCCGGTTCGCCAAAAAACCGATTCAAATTTGAATAGATTTTTTTCTGCTACCACTTGTGAAGTACAACATTTTATACAAATTTACCGGTTATCGAATCGGTTTTTTAGCGAACCGGAGCGAACTCATGTCGGCTTCGACCTCTGGCTATGAAGGGCAATTCTACGAGTAAAGGGAACTGCAGAAATTTGCATTGTAAGTTTTCGCTACTTGCAAAAATTTAATTTTTTTTTATCCGTTATATTTCTTGGATAAAAATATTATGTTTCTTTTTATAAAGTGTATTTCTCCGTTATTGTTACGTTATTCGTTCTTAAAGTATAAACTTTAAGGCAAAAAGAGGCATGAAAAACTAATTAAAATAAGTTTTTTCATATGTAAAGAATATTACAGAATAAAATTTCAACGGTAATTTAAAATTTAAATTTTTGTAAGCGCTTCAAGCTTAGTCGAAAATATGTAAAATTTCCACCGATTGACACAGTTTTTGACAAATTTTAGCTTAATTAAAGCATTTCTGCTATGTTTTAAGTCAAAGGTTTGTTAAATTTGTGAATTCAAACATTTTTTGGGTAGAGACATAAATCAGAAATGAGTATTTAGTGAAATATTTAACAAATTAAAGTACATTATTTTTGTAAATTCCACCGATTGACAGTAAAAAAGTTAAAATATCTCCTCATACAGCCATTTATTGCAAACAAGTACTGTTCATAATGATAAACATTCCCTTTTTACATAATTTTAATTAATTTAAATGTGTAGAGTCAATATTTAAAGTTTTTTTAATAGAATAAAGAAATTTTGTAATTTTTTTCACTCGTAGAATTGCCCTGAACAGTCATGAAAGGAAAGAGTTCAAATTAATTTTAATTAATTGACTGAACTAGTCCTAAAAAAACAGAAATTTAATTTAATTTGTATAAGAACAAAAATTTAAGTTTAAAGTCTTAATACTCAACTGCCTTTGACATATTACATACATTAGGTAGGAGGGTACGGAGTATTTAAAGTTGGGTTGCAATATGAGCACCTGTGCACAGGTGAGAACCGTACAATTTCTTGATAATTTGTCTGATTAATAGTTCATCGGAGAAATTTAATAGTCAAATGAGTCATTTGCTCTTTAAATAGTTTTTATGCAGACTTGGTTTAAAATTCCGGACCTCCTTATAGCTTTGAAGTATTGTTTTGTGTTGCATTTGGAACCGGCAATTTGCAGACGGTAGCCAGCGATAGAACTAGTTTAAGGGGACGGCTAAGGGAGGTCATGGATCACAATTCATCTGTAAGTAATGTAGAATTTTTGCCACATTATTATTTAAAAATTTAAAAGCTTAAAATGTAAACTGATCAAAAGTGACAAATAGAGCAAGGTTCATATCCTTGTAAAGTAATATCAAGTTTGGTTTTATGAAAAACTTTATTATTCCCACTTTTTTGTTTTTTTTTTTTTTTAAATTTCACTATAATTACGTCCAATATCAAAATCAAGTTTGTGCACCCCTGAAAAGCCATTAGATACATACAAAATCACGTTTGTGTTAGTGCATAATACTCCTCTTTCCACAAAAACCCGTACAGTCGCTCAATCAATTGCTGCCTTTGCATTGTATCAAATGAAAGAAAATCTATATAGCGTGAAGCCAAATAGAACAGCAAAGAACAAATGAAGGTTAGAGAGGGATAGATAGATGCGATACAAGAATGGGAAGAAGCAGAATAAAAATGTCTTTAATTACAAAATTTTTCCATTTATGTAACTACAGTTGGAAAATTTTAATAATACACATGAATTTGCGTTTCTTTTTCGTTCCTTCTTGTTTTTGCTGTTGATATTAAAGTCGTCATCATGCTGGTTTGTGCGGGCTTAAATTGCCAGGCGCTCTTTTTTGTCACTGTCACCTCGCTGTTGTGCGCTTCTCTTTATAAATTTATTTTATTGTTCGCTTGTCGAAATGAAATTATTTTCATTTTTCATTGTTCTTATTTTTTTTACACCTGTAAAATTAATGACCTTTTTGAATGTTGTTTCGCTGCTCATTCTACACATTCCGCATGCATATTATAATTTTTTTTTGTACTGTTGATTCATTCATGACGTCGCAAAATATTTATTTATTTTTTTTTAAGCTGTAACAAAATGAATGGTAAGGTAATAATCATTGTTGGTGGATGATTTGGATACTTTTTTTTGGTCCGGGTGAGCTTAATCGTGAATGATGATTAATTCTTTTTTTTTTCGCGAGGAGGCTGATGGTGTTGATCAGAAAAAAATCAAAATCACGTATTTTGGAATTAATTAGTGATTTTTAATATATTGAGATTTTGAATGTTTTGTGCGAGAATTGATGAGGCTGACCAAGTTAGATGACCTGGTGAATACACACACTAGACTAAACTTAACCAGATATAGCGTGGTGACAACAGTATACTTAAAAAAGTATACTTTAAATAGTATGCTTTAAATAGTATACTTAAAAAAGTATACTTTAAATAGTATGCTTTAAAACGTATACTTTAATTAGTATAGCATAGCCATAGTCAAGTGTAAATGGCGATGCTGCATTTTTAAAAATAGTTAAAATAAGGCTGCTGATTGGTCCTAAATATCATATTTGCCTAATCGCCGTAAAGACAATCTTAAAATGTGTTTTAATCGGTTATAATATGTTTTAAGCCTTTTTTTAAAGTCATTCAAATGATTGCACATCAATCAAAAATCATCAGTAACAGAATCATCTCCAAAAACCAGCAGACTCTAAGCAAGAACATCTCATAACCTCAAAATACCCACCAAGCAAATCAAAAAGTTCACAACAAAATTATTCAAAACCAGTTTTTATCGATTTTTTTCTCTCACTTTCCCATAAATACCGAGGGTGAACTTTAACCGTCGCTGCTGCAATTTCTAACCGTCAATCAAACTTCCTTTTCCACCCTTTCGTCGTATTTTTTACAGCAGAAAAAGCAGCAATCATCAAAAACTCATGCTATGTACGTGAGCGAGCAAAAAAAAAACAATCCATAAAATGGCGCTCAGGCTGAAAGAAATACATGAAAATGTTGTGTATATAAGTAAGCAGCAACAGCGATGATGATGATGATGATGAGGAGGAGAGAAACGAGAACTTTTTTATTTCTTTCGAGTGCGAAAAAAAAACTAAGAAACGGAAGACAGTAAAAAGCAATGTAAAGTGCTAAAAATACCAATTCACGTTAAAAGCACTTGTTTCGTCGCTTAAGTATAAGCGCGGAATGTAAAAAGAGAAGAACGTCAAAATCTATAATTTACTACTATGACTCTGTGCCTTTCATCTCCGTTGTATATTAGTGTCGATATGTGCAGTATCATGTTGCACACACGATTCAATATTTCCAGGACAGAACATTTTCTTACTTGTGAATGCAATAACCTTGATTTACAGCACACACGAAAAAAAAATTATATCGAGTAATTTTCATTTTATTCATCACATTTTTATGATTGCTGTTACACACCCGCACCGAATGTTGTTTTCATTCCTTACTTTTCTTACTTACTTTTTTTTTTCGTTAGACGTGAGCGAAAAAAAAAATAACAGAGGATGAAGAGAAGTATAATAATAAAAATTAAAATGAATAATGGATGATTAATGATGGCAACGACGCATTAAGAGCGAAAGAAAATTGCTTTCGATACTCATTCCATGTACATTATGTACAACATGAATGGAATAATGAGGATGTTTTTGAGGTTTTTTGTTCCTTTACATACTTCTTTTTATGTTGGAGGATTTGAGTTGTGTAATTCTTTATAGCTGCTACTGTGGCTGCTGTGAGAATTTCTGGGGTTTCATAAAGTTCTTTTGGAGCTTAAATTGTTTTTGTGGAATTTTTGTTTCGGCTGAAATTGAAATATTTTTTGGGAATTCTTAAGAGATTTAGGCAAAACTGTCTTGTAATGTTGAGAACATTTGATGGATCCTTGAAATATCGTCAAAATTTTGAGTAATGATTTAGAGCAGCATCTGGTGGGAATCGAACCCACGTCCACATCAAATATTTCATTTTTCCAATTCTTAAACAAATGGCCAAAGAGTCTTTACTCTAAGTCACTGACAGACTTGCCTACATATGGCTCGATACTCAAGATTCAACATTTAGGAACAACTGACAGATACAGTATTGCATTTGGTATGGGTAATTGGTAAACGGTAACCAGCGATAGAGCCTAGCTTCAGGCGCCATCTAAGAAAGGCCATGGATCAAAATTGATCTTTACGTCCAGTGAAGTAAGTAAGTTGTTGACAGCAGAATGTCAAATCTAGAGAAGTCACCCAAATAAGCACAATTAAGGCTACCATATTGTCAAGAAAAAAATAAGATTCACTGCAATGTGTCATTCAGGTCCAACTCTAAAGGTCATTAATTCCAAACTCAAAATTCTATATCAACTCTTCCAATCACCAACAAAATTCATTGCCATCGATACTCAATGACTTCAAAAGCAATTATTTCTTCATTAAACAATGCTTTTAAAGACATTTTCAACACCTCAGCAGAAGTTCACATTATTTTTTGCACGTCGTTAGGCACTTGAGAGAATGCGACGTTGCCAGACTTTCAGCATCAAGCCATCTCGTCGTTTGCGTCTTTAATAATAGAACAAAAATGCGCAAAATAATTTTTTTTTTATTTAACGAGAGAAAATTTTGTTGCTTTGTGCAATTTGAAATTCAATTATGGAAGTTCCACACAAGTCTGAGACACAATAAGCATTATTGCGCGTTGATTT